AATTCATTTCATCAACTGTCTGATCATTATTAATTTATATACTTTCCCCATTCCCACTTCTTTCTATAACTTTCTCCCAATCTGCTTTTTTAAAGTTCCATCTTTGAGGCACATAACTCTGTTCAATTATAAATTCAATATCAACTGTACATGTGATTGGGAAGTGATCGCTACCCATGCTTGTGTTTTGATCAATTTCCCATTCACATCTACTGGCAATTTTCCTATCAACTAGAGTTAGATCTATACAAGAAGTTTGATTTTTATAAACATTAATTCTAGTACCATAACCATTATTTATACACACTAGCATTCTATCATTCATCATTTCTTCTACTGCCTCACCATTCAAATTTGTCTGTTCACTGCCCCATAAACTGTTGTGAGCATTGAAGTCCCCACACCAAATCTCTCTGTGACTTTTCTTAACAATACTTTTCAATAACTCACTATTTAATGCTTTACATGGATTATAATAATTAATTATATTCAAATTACCACTACCTTTATTAAATATTTTAGTTACCACACATTCATGATCCTTGGAATTAATAGACCTGTATAGTATTCCTAATTTAATAAATGTCATACACCCTCCTCCTCTGCCTTTTTCTCTATCACATCTAATACCATTATATCTTTTCAATACAAAATCAAGGTGTGGTTTTAACCATTTTTCTTGAATACATGGGACCTCAGGTTTTCTTTCAGATTGTGTGTATATCTCTTTAATTCTTGACCATTTGTTATTAAACTTCAGGCATTCCACTGAAGAATGAAAAATACCATAAGGCTTTTAATCACTATTTTGACCCTCATGTTTATAATTCAGCATCTCTTGAATTTTACTAGCTTGTGAGCTAAATCCTAAAAAGTAATTTGCAATATCCACAATTGCTTTTACCTTATTACTTCCCCAATGAGGTAGAGTTGCTTTACTTATCACTGCGCAAATGAAAGCAAGGAAGTCATTTTTCTTGACCAACATTATTTCTTCTGACATTTTCTTTTTGAATTCACAGTATTCTGATTGTTGAGTGTTACATTTAGGCCTACTGACCTGTTGGACTCTCTCGTTATAATGGCTCCTGTGGTTTACTCTGCTTGTTGGAATGCTATCATTTGATTCCCGAGCTTTCTCTGTTGTATAAGTTGTAAAGCGCTATATATAAATAAATGTATACTGGGGAACAATTAGGCTAGCACCTTTCTTTTCCATTTCAATTTTCTTAACCGCCTCAGCATACGAAACTTTATGAATCATTTTGCATTTCTGGACTTCTTTTGCCTCTTTGTGTTTCTCACAACCTCCATAACCTGCACTATGATTGCCACCACAATTACAACATTTTAATACAGCATCTTGCTCACATTCACCATACTCACATTCTCCTCCACATTTCACACATCTTATCTTTTCCTCGACATTGGCTAGCAGCAGGGCCATACTGTTGACAATTAAATCTTCATGGTGGCGGAATATATTCTCTCACTGAGTATGACATGTATCCCATTTGTACCCTGCTAGGTAGCTCTTTCTTGAAGCCTAATAAAATAGGAAGGCTTTCTATTTTATCTTTACCTTTTGTCAACCGCTTAGCTTCACACACATCATAATCTTCTAAGCTTTCCATGATCTCCTCTACTGAAGTTTGGATTCCAGATATTACTCCTCTGACCTTTGATGCTGCACCCGGAATATGTGACGTTACCTTGAGTTTGTTGAGTGTAGTTTTCTTAAGAATTTTACTTTGTTGTTCCTTAGAATTTGCAAAGATCAGAATTCTCCCATTACCCGTGAAACGTGCGTGATTAATCTTGCCTATTTCCTTCTCTATTGCTTTTGTGATATGTATTGGATGTAAATCTGGTCCTCCCTTTTGATCAAACACCAAAATAACTTTCCAAACATCAACCTGAGGCCTCAAGGACCTGTTACCATCTACTTTGGTCTTTTTTGCCATAACTACTGATTCTATGGATTCCCTTTCACTCTCTAATCTTTGTCGTACTTTCTGCTTGTTGCCATTAACAACCTCTTCCCAAAACATTTCACCTTCATCAAGCATATTATCTAGGTTTAACGATACAAAAGATCCACCATTGTCCAAATTACATTCACTGTGAGTAGTTTATTTAGTTTTACCGTCGATGTTCAAATTTTTTCAGATTCTCAGTGTCCAAAGTTCCTCCTACGCGTCGGTCGACGGATTTCATTTCCCCACAGTAATGCAATGTTGAGGTTTGAAATGTAAATGCAAAAAGCAACAAAATACACCGCAAGCAAACACCAAAGCAAAGTCCAAAACCAAAAGCCCTCTCCCTTGGCTCAGATGGTGATCTCTTAAAGTCCCTGTAAAGTCAATTCTACAAAAAAGTTCTAAACACATTATAAATGTTACATATGTATTGCTAAAACATATTACAAAGTCTGTGAACTGTGAAGTACTGAAATGTGGAGTTAGACCATTAAACAGTTTTTCACCATTGCAATTTTACGGATTAATTGGGCGGGGCTAAAACAGTGCTCCGTGACGCACTGGAACCCATGAGCTGCTGGACACCCCCCTATTTGATGACGCACAGAGTCTGATCTCCCTCTCTCCACACACACTCCCCGAGCACATTCGCATTCACCGCTCAATCGCGAGTGACTGTCAGTACTATTAGTTACTACAGCTGAGCCTACAGTTTTCTAGCTAGCTATGCCTTCGACACGGACATGCATGGGCTACTACCTGGATGCGATCATGTACAAAACAGATCGGTATCTTCGTTTAAATTCCCTTAAAAACTATCACATCAAGAAGAGGTTTTTAGAGAGCCCAACGTTACCTTGATGAAGAACTGAGGATCACCCCCAACACCCGCCTCTGTAGTGATCATTTTACACTGGATCGTTTTATAAACTTTCCTCAGAGACAACTAGGATTCACTGATAATTTACTGATAATCCGCTGTTACTGGTGAACGGGGCCGAAACGACGATCTCAGCTTTCATCCTCCCGTCTCCAAAAGCTAATCAGCTAATCACCGTCAACAGCTTTCCCGTGAGTGGGCGTGGTTTCAGCACAGCCAGCGGACACGCCCCCAGCGTTTGAGAGCAGAGCAAATCTGCTAATTTTTTCATGATTTTGATAGCTTATTTTATGTACTTCCCGACTTTTTTTATCATTCAAATTTGGCTGGGTGGCTAATTACACATTTTTCTGTGGTGTGACAAACTCAGAACATATACTTAATTTTGACTTTACAGGGACTTTAAGCGTCTAAGGTCACAGGTGTTTCCAGTATTGAGGCAATTAGGCAATTTGATGCAATTAGTGGGCTCAGGTACCAACTGCAATGCTCAAGACCAACAGCAGGGCTCGTCACACTAGATTCTAAATATGATTCATTTGCTAGATGTGCTTATTGTAAAATAAAATACCAACTTCAAAACTACAGTTTTTTCAGAAACCTACAGAGAAAAATATTATAACAATTACAATCATCCTCTTTCTCTAAAAAAAAAAGTGTGCCGTTTTCTGACAATTTCATAGATTACACCGAATCTGTGATTTCTTGGAGAGTTATGAGTTATCTCATATAGTGTTTAATCACAAGGCTAAAGAATTAAATATGCAACAATTATTGAAGTTTATAAGGAGACAAAGAAAATCACAAATAGATTCTAATGAAGTATAATTAGTATTAAGTATAATATCACATTAAGGATATTATAAAGAAATATTGGAATATTGTTTTGACTGATCCTTCATTAAGAGATTTTTTTTAAACACTTTATTTATTCAGAAAAGATCAGGTAACATTGCAAATAAACTGGTAAAGTCACATATAGGCACAGAAAAGAAACCAACCTTTATGAGGTTGATTTCCATGTACTGTAGAAACTTTGCAAGCTTACATGCCCTAGTGTATGACACATAATCTACACGTTAAAAATGCCCTTGTCCATTATTTTACATCTGAAAAAACGACACGTCCATTAAAAACTTGTTGAAGCAAACATAAATCTGCCATCAGGAGATGGGATGTCAATTCACCATTTGCCAGAGTGTAATCGTGATAAAGCAGTTTGTATAGGCATTGAAAAAGTAACAAATTCCAGAATAGGTTGGAAATGTAGCTGAAAAGAAAACTTGATAAATACAAAAATAATAATAATAAATATAGCTGCGAGCAGCGATGGCGGGCCCAAGCTGGTGGCACCGCAACCCCGGTTCCTTTAGTTACCTAAAGGCACCGGGGTGGCAGTGCCGCAGGCTTTGGCCCTTTCATCATTAAATGTTAAAACGGCTTGCCATACTCTATCTGTCGTTTCGACTAGTCACAATTACGTTACAGATATCTTAAATGATAAAATGTAATTACGACTAGTCAGAAAGACATTGTTGATATCTACGATGTTAATTCCGGATAGGCAAACTTAGCTTTTAAATGTTAATAGGGCTTGCCATACAGGGACTTAGGCTCAGAGAGAGGCTCACCATATTCAAACCAAAATATCTGACTTCCTCTTGGTCCGAGCTAATGGCTATGAATTAGAAAGTTGTCCGGCTTGAGGAGTACAATGTATATACCGATTTTTATAACTGTAGATAAAACTAACAACCCCACTTTTGTCAAAAGGTGGCGCTATTTAGTCCCTGCACCACGCCCGTTTCTGAAACTTTGCACATGTCTACTGGCCAATAAATGTGATGTGTCTGAGTTTCATGCAATTTCAAGCATGCTAAGAGTCTCAAAAGCATCCTAAAAGAATTTTAAAGTTTGATGTGTTGCCACGGCAACAGTATCAAAGATATCAAGAATCCATTCACAGGTCTTTATCTGGCATGAGTTTACATTATACAGATGAAGTTTGAAGCAAATCGGGTAAAAAATAAGAGGGTGATTTCAAAGCGTTTTGAAAGTGACACACTTCCTGCTACCAGTTGGTGGCGCTATAATTTTTACTCACAAAAGTCACATCCACGTGATCGTCCTCTTACAGCGATCACACATCCACTAATTTTATTGTGATAAATTACCAGTTTTGTGATAAATAACAAATTACACATATTCAAAGCAGCCCACACACGTGTGACAATTTCTAAATGCAGATTCAACGATCCATCCAATACATGTAACATCATTCATAAATGTGTGATGTAAATTAATTCAAGAACTTGCATTTGTGTGAGCATTTGGGGAAATATCTATGCTTTTACTTGTGTATTTATTAAATGTGTTTTTAATTTACGAATCCAAAATTGTAAATGTGAATTGTGCTGTGCATTTATGAATTTTGTTTTATAAATGTATTATTTTTTAGGCTTATCTGGCTACATTGTATGGTTTTAAGGAGAAAATATTCAGCACTGGTGTTGACTTAAGAATTTGAGTTTGTCTTAAAGCATATTTAAAAGATCACATAGACATACAGTATAAACAAAATTAAAAGCTGAATTGTCATGAAAACATGACAATTCATGTTGTAAGACAACATCTGTATTGCAAACCCCTCTATGTTTCGGTTTCTGTTGTTGCTGTTTTTGGCGTATACTGTAGCTACCAACGCAATGCCATTGCCATAGAAACCAATGCAGATATTCCAGAAAATGAAAGAGCAGCATGGTACAAACAAATCGGATCTGAACAGTTGTGATACACAATGGACAGTCGCTATTTTTAGATCTGATTCCAATCGTATACTGTGTCGAGCAGGACGAGGCAGAGGGCCGTGAGAGAATGTCGCGAGGCCGGTGGCGTGATTACTAATGAGCGACACCTGTGCAACACACCGGTCTTGCAATGACGGTAAAGGATAGCAGAGGCCAGGCCTGGATTTTATTTGATGTTTTGTTTTATTATGTGTGGCGGCAGTCGACCGTGAGGGACCGCCATCTTTACTTTCGTTTTTGTATTTATTTATTTGTTGATTGTTCGCCGGTTCCCGCCTCCTTCTTCCCATAACATCTAACCTGGTTAATTATACACAAATAATCTGATTTGGACTGATAGTCTGAACATAGCCAAAGAGCTGTCACTAGTCCATACAATACATGACAACATGAAAGCATGTGGCTGATAAAAAACACGAGCCGTATGCTACACAGAACAAAACAACACAAAAGCATGCTGCCATTGTTGAGCATGAGCTGCATGCTACACAAAAGGTGACAAAATAAAAGCACGAGGCTGATGATAAACATGAGCCGAATGCTACACAGAACACAATAAAAAAAGAAACCAGGTGCTCAACAAAACATACAAGAAGAGTGCACGGTGAGTGAATGCAACACTCAACCGCCGTACTTTTTTAAATATGTAATTAATTCACAACAGCTGAAAATATATGTTCTATATAGTATGAATGTGTGTAGAATGTATTTTGGACGTTGTACATTCGCCATGTTGGTTTTATCACATGACCTACCAGCATCAGTTGTGTCGCTTCACTGTCATTAATAAATCTTTTCGCCGTGGCCTCATCGTATGGACCCTTCAGAAACTCTCTGGAAGAAATAGATCATCCGGGTACTCTTTGCCTGCTTTTTTTAGTACTTTGAATTCAGACATACTTCTTTTGTCGAATTCTGTTTTTTTGTTTTTTGCCTACTATAGGGTATAGTATGGGGAAGTATGTTATTTTGAATACAGCCACGGGGAATAATTGTTGGAACCCTGACACTGAACCTAAACCAGACTAGACCGAAGTGTTCATATCTGAACATCATGTTCCACACATTCAACATTTCACGTAGTTGAAAGAGTGTACGGCCCGAGCGAACTCAAAACCGCATGCTCACACAAAGACAAGACGGAGTGTCAGAGCTCCCTCACCAAAGCAATAGTAAACCAGACCGAAGTGACAGAACCCTGACAGTGCTGAATGTAATGAAGTTGGCAAAGACAAAATTCAGAAGTGAAAGTCCATTAGAGAGGAACTGAAGCATTTAAACTAGTGATCACAGACCTTTGGACCACACTATTTTACTAAAATTATATTAAAATTTGTGTGTTTAAAACCTTTTTAATCACCAATCTTGTTTTTGCTATTGCTAACTGCATGCAATCACTACATTGTAATTACTTTTTTTTCACTTGATATACAGAAACATTTATTTCTTTCTCCTTGTGTGTCAGTATGTTTGATGTGGGTGGTCAGAGAGATGAAAGGAGGAAATGGATTCAGTGCTTTAATGGTGAGCTTGTATGTTCCTCAAGCTTTGTGGTAAAAATATAAAATTCTTTGTGTTTTTTACGTAAATAAATTCCTGAAACCTGTTTTTATAGTTAATATATCTAAAAGTGACTAATGGTATTAAAAGGATAGTTCCCCAAATATTTACATTCTGTCATCAATCAATTACTCACCCTCATGTCTTAACAAACCTAAAGACTTTTGGTTAAACACAAATTCATAAAAAAATGTACCATGAAAAATATATATATATACCATTCAAAGTTCAGGTAAGCAAAACTTAGAAGATAAAAAAAGGTCATTTAGGTATTATTCACCTTTTTCTGACTGGACAGTTTTCTACTTCCTGTTGTCCTGTTTTCACTAATTGTATCTTAATTTCAATCAATGTTTCATCAACCAATTGCCTGGTTTTAATAAATAAGAAGTAGCTATATAGTAAACAGATTGAACAGATGGACTTTGGTCTCATGAATGAAACTCGGCGTAACGTTATTACGCCTAACCTCACAGGCCTTTTAGAACCTTTTAGAACTGTTATTCTGCCGCAGTCAGGGTGATAGAGACTGTCGGGTGTTTGCTGGAGATCGTGCAGTCATGCATCAGCTATCCTTTGGAAGTTATGAAGCAAAGAAAAACATTCGTTTTGTTTTTATCTGTGATTTCATAAAAAAGATAACGTGATCAGATCACATTTGATGATTTTTTTTTTTAATTTAGTTTAGCGATGTGGGGATGACACAATCTAAAACACATGAAAAAAAAAGCATAGACCAGACTCGAACCGGAAGTTGACTACCGGCATCGTCGTCATGGCAACTCGCATTGTTTAGAGCAGAAAAAGGTGGATAAAACAAATCGATATGAATCTAGTGGTAGTCATTGTCTTGTGATGAAAGAGACATGAAAGAGCTTTATATGATGAACAGATTTAATTTATAATTTTATTTACATCGAAACAATGATTGACACATTCACACACATATTTACATGTAAGCTTGTGTGTGAGTAGTGCATGCATCATGCACTTAAACAAACCTTATTGTTGTTGTTTTTTGCATCATGCACACACAAGAACCAATGAGGTTTGTTTTAGGGCTTCTTTGTTTACTACATAGGCTATATGTACATATATGTATATCATCTGTCCGATGAAAACTGCGTATGTCCATTTTGCCGATTTTGAGATTTTTTGACGGATAGAATGTCCAGGTTCATTTCCGTATACAGCATGTTTCACATTATCTAAATGACCAATGAAAAGTTGTGAAATCGTGTCATCTGAGTTCCACGTATATCCATTTGCTGTCAAAGCTGTCAATCACGCAGCGTATCTCCCCGCCCTGTGGAGGCATTTCGCCGGTCTCGTGAAGTTTCATCTTAATGAAAATTCATCTGCATGTTAATGCAAGGTGTAAATAGCGTTGTGATCGGATCTCCCTGACCACATTTGGAGGTAGTCTGGCTCGCATTGTGTTCGGATATTTACTAGGTGTAAACGCAATCTGGTTGTTGAAACCACATATGTATATTTTACTCCTCCCAAAAATGCTAAAAAAAATAAACGAGAGCGTGTTATAGGCTATAGGCTATATGATATGTTATAGTCAGATATGACGGCGCTACTGCGACACGCATCAGATGAGCGTCTATTCATCAAGCCAACAAGCAAACATCGCAAATAAAAGTGAAAGTAAGTCACAGACGCTTAATCATCTTCACAATCACACAATCATCTTCAAGTAAAGAAACGAAATGATCTTAGCCGGGCTGTTGCTCTCTCTTATTGATGTCTTTGATTTTGAAATTAGCTGATGATCAATAAAATGCAGCTCATATGTTGTTTTTGGTGGCGTGCAATCCATTAAATATGCATATAACGTGGGAGTCGAAGATCGGGTTTATATCCGTTTTGCAAAAACACATTTATGTGGCCAGGTGTAGCTAAATGGAATCGGTAAGATCAGAACACGTATTATCCGGATAACTTATCTGGATACAGATCTCATTTAATACCAGGTGTAAATGAGGTCTGAAAGCTCAGCATTAGATTGCCGAATAACAGTGAGGTAAAGTATCATCAAACTTTTGTTTTTGACAACTGTTCTCAAGACTTTCCTCTACAGTAGGCCTAACTTTATAACGGTAAACGTTTCCCCCTTGATGCCAGACATAGTTAGCCTGGTAATACCAGACTCTGCTACTTCACTTTGCTTCGTAGACAGAAGTTGTGTTCCATTCGACAGGGTCCCTACGCAGTGTTCACTGCTCCCTACTCCCTGAACACGGTATATCAGTTGAAGTGGACTTCACTGACTTCCTGTGAAGTGATGTATCGATGTTCCCTTATTCCCTATGCCGTTTGCAGTGCCCTTCGAACTGAACATTTTCGTTCCCTTCGAATTGGAATTTCACTTAAGATGGCGAAATACCCTGTGAAGTCCACTTCGCAGTCTACTTACGGTCCAATGGAACGCACCTAGAGTCTGGAATGGCATAATAGAGAAGTGTTTTCTCTCTCGCAAGGGGGCGCTTCTCTGAAGTTTAAAATCATTGGTTACCCGTAAGCCAATCAGATAAGTTTATTTATGACGTATGTTATGCACCGACACGGCCGCATCGAGACAGGTGCGTTCCATTCGACAGGGTCCCTACGCAGTGTTCACTGCTCCCTACTCTCTGAACACGGTATATCAGTTGAAGTGGACTTCACTGACTTCCTGTGAAGTGATGTACCAATGTTCCCTTATTTCCTATGCCGTTTGCAGTGCCCTTCAAACTGAAAATGTTCGTTCCCTTTAAAATGGAATCTCACTTAAGATGGCTAAATACCCTGTGAAGTCCACTTCGCAGTCCACTTACGGTCGAATGGAACGCACCTATGCATCGAACTCAAATCTATGATCGAACTTCCACTGTAAACAGGGAGCGGCGCTTTTGTAAGGGCTGCAAAATGTGTGCCAACTGGGAATGAACAATTCACAAACTAGGTTATTTATATGAATTACTGAGTTGCGGCCGCCCCGCAACGTCGGCGTGCTCCGCTCTCACGAGTCTGATTTAGCTTCCGCCACCCCGCAGCGCCGCGAGGACGAGCCGCTGCTCTCGCGAGTCATGAATAGGAAGTTCATTTTAGTGATTTTCTGAGTCATTCATTCGAGTCATTTCATTTCGTTTTCGTTAAGTGGCTTAATGTTATAATTTTAACAGCCAAATTCCCCGATCACATCCACCTACGCAATGTTGATCATATTCTGAATTAAGAAATCATAATGCAGTAAAAAATGATTTACATGGAACATAAATAATCACTTTACCTTCCGAGTCTTACGTTCATTTGTCACGTGACATACACAATGAACAGATCGTTCATGAATCACATATCTGGGACTAATGTAGCAGGATGTCGAAACGAAATATGGTGGATTATTATTATGATGTTAATAATATGATAATAAGAGCGCACCAGGAGCGTTCACAGATGAGGAGACCGACTTTCTCCGGAATGTTCTCCATAACAGAGCGAATTGCATCCCGTGTCTTGTTTCCCATTTCTGCGCGGTTGTTTCGGTTTTCGATTTCTCTAACCTACAATGTAATCTCGGCGCTTAGCGTCTACGTCACGGCTCTCAGACCGCCCTCTGTTCGTTGATTGGCCGGCTGTTTTCAGGCCGGTGGAAAACTGAAAGATAGGCCGCTATCTCAGAATGACTACAGGAGCGAAATGAAATTAGCGGAAGTAGGAAGTCTGATGTAGTCAGGCTAAGACATAGTAGAGAGAGTGACAAAATTACGATAGGATTGTAAGTATCAGTCTAGCATCGCCATGTCAATATGCACGTATGTCCATTTAAACTCGATTTTGCGTCAAATGTGGATTATATCATGACACTGGCAATGGTTACATTTAAAGATGTTGTACCAAGCATGACAACGCTACGCTTTTGAAATTACGTGTTTTTTTTTTACTTCCTGAATAGTAACCGTTTTGGACATACATGAGTTTCATCGGGCAGTGACAATATATATATATATATGTGTTTGTGTGTGTGTGTACGGTATATATGTATATGTATATATATATACTGTATGTGTGTGTGTGTGTGTGTGTGTGTGTGTGTGTGTGTGTGTGTGTGTGTGTGTGTGTGTGTGTGTTTAAATGATGTCTAGCTTATAAAGTTATCTCTTCACAATATGTGAAGATTAAAATGCTCAACTCATATGGATACCTTTGACAACGCCTTTAAAACATTTTTGAATCTTTTAAAATTTGGTTACCTGGACTTTCAATACGAGGGACAGAAACTTTCTCATTAAAAATATAAAAATTTTATATTTCGAAAATGAACCAAAGTCTTATGGGTTTTGAACGATTTGAGGGAGAGTAGATGGTGACAGAAGTAAAATTTGTGGGTTAATTATCACTTTGTGTGTGCTTGGTTATTATATATTTCTTCCTGTCTATATTCACAGATGTGACCGCCATCATCTTCGTGGCAGCCAGTAGCAGTTATAACATGGTCATAAGGGAAGACAACAGCACCAACCGGTTGCGCGAATCTCTTGATCTGTTCCGCAGCATCTGGACTAACAGGTTTCACAGTTCTGCTGTTTCTTGGGAGTTTTCAGTTCCCGTCCCAAGTGCTGCAGAAGTTATCCTGAAGTGCATCTATATGTTTGTAACAGTTACCGATTATTTTTATTAGAGGTCAGCAATAGGGCTGGATGATGTGCTGAATATTCACAGTGTGTGTATATATATATATATATATATATATATATATATATACACACACACACCTGTCATAACTTTCAGAGAGATTGGCGTGATAATAAAGATTGGCATGGTAATGGATTTTTAAGACATGCTGCTTTTTATAAACTGCTCCGAGACTTGAGTGACAATCCAAGTGCAGAATTTATTAGGACAGTCCAGAAACACTCAAAACAGCAGGCAACAATCCAAATAAACAGCAAGGAAATAAACAGACAAAAGGGTAATCCAATAGACAGGCAGAGAACCCAAAAACCAAGGTACATGAAATCACAAATAACACTCAGATATGTGTAACATATGTGTACCTGCAATAAATGACAGAGTGAAACAGGCTTTTGTAGACAAGAGTTAAAGAGTAACAGCTGTAGACAATCAGTGATGAAGGAATGGGGCAGAGGATTATGGGGGATTATCCATATCTGTCGTAGATGGAATGGCAATGAACTCTAGTCCATGGAGTGCCCAGCTGAGTACCTCAAGGGCACTCCAACTGGTGATCAGGACATATCCCCCCACCTAAGGAGAAGCTTTCAGTTGCTCCTAATATGGTCAACGAAGTCCAGGAGCGAGGCGGACCAGGGGCCGACCAGGGGCGGGAGGGCCAAGTCCAAGGGCAGCAAGGGGAGAGTAAGTGGCCAGGGCGGCACAGAATGGACAAGTGGCCAGGGTGGGAGCAGCCTGGGATGATGACAACCAGGGGAGCAGAATACCCCCAGGACAGATCTGGTGGAACTGGAGATCAACATGGCTGATCAGATGAAATTGAAACAGAGCACAGAGAGGGTAAGCGTTGGCTTCAGGGCCCATGTCAAAACATGCTGGAAGCCTTTTCATGAAAGGATGACACCATGGGGAAGAGTACCTCTAGTGGATACCGGGGAAACACAAACCTGACACTGTGACAGTTCCAAATCTCAGGGACGACCACTATAGTTGTATCAGGGCAGACAAGAAAATGTGGGACGACCTCCGTGGTCGCATCAATGCAGCTAGGAAGTTCACGGGCTGGAACCAACACAGGACTGAGCTCTGAGGCTAGAGCGGGCTCTGGAGCGGACTCATGGCCTGGATTGGACTCAGTGTGCATCCCAAACACACAAAATAGACGCTGCTGTAATGTGCTGTCAACAGTGGGACCACCTCTGAGATCCCCAGACTGGATTCGACTGCAGAGATCACAACTGCTCTGAGACTTGAGGAAGATGCAAATGCAGCATTTATTAGGACAATCCAGAATTATAATCAAAACAGCAGGAAATGGTAGGGATGGCTGACGCGAAACAGACATTCCGAAGTTTTGCGAGATCCCGAAGCAAAAATGATTCGAAACACTTGCTCTTCGAAACAATTGCTCTTTCAAGAACTACGCCCGCCCGCCCGCCCGCCAACTGTTTCATTGCTTCACAAAGCCTCTATCTGCCCATCACTAGGAAATGGGTCAAAACACAAGCCAACAATCCAAATAATAACGCTCAGAAATGCAGTGTAACACTAGCTAAAACCTTGCAAACAATGACAGAATGAACCAGGCTTTTATAGACAGAAATAATAAGTAACAGCTGTAGACAATCAATGAGGATGAAACGGATCATAGAATTATGGGGGATGGAGTCTTTGATGGAATGGCAATGAACACTAGTCCGTGATGGAGTGCCCCCTGGTGGCTCTCAAGGGCACTCCAGTGGGTGATCGTGACACTGCTGCTGCTGCTGCACATGTAACACACATGAATTAATCCCCCGTAGCAGATCTATTAGGTGGAGAATTTCTGGAAGCGTGCTATAGACCACTAACAGAATCACTAGCAATATTTGAATGTTGAGCCGCAGCTCATTGGCCTATCAGCTACGCTATGTAGATAATGATGTTGATCCTGGATGTTGTCATCTGCAATCGAGATGACCGTAACATTAGGCGTCTCCCTGTAAACCCCCGCTTTCAAATTAATCTTGTTACCCACTATATTTATTTTAATATATTATATATCTTTATAAATATATGGTTTATTTAAGTCCCACTTGAGTACACCTCAATGAGAGGTGGTTCCTCTGTGTACAAATTTATCAAAAACATTTTGGGACAAGGTTTTAACTCTGACTGAGTTGTCATTGTAAGACAGTTTAGTTAGCACCTTTGTTTGTTTGTCTGAGTTAGCAACAGTAACTAAGAGGGTGGGGCTTACCGACAGGTCAATTGCATAAACGCAGCAGCTAATTTGCTTAGTAAATTACTCCACAGACTATTAAACATAACACTAAATTATGATTGGTATAACATTATGATTGCTCATTTACTGTAATAAGCAAACCACACAATATGGGTGGGATATGGAGTATGCACAGGGAAATGGAGTAAAAGTGTCACGTGTGGTTGCAGGAAGGCAGACAAAGATGATGATAAATTCCCACCACAAAGGTTTAATGGTAAAACTATAAAGGATAACAGACAGGTAGCAACACACACTATGCACATCATAGATCAGACAAAGATTGACTGAACAGACGGAACTTAAATTCAAACACAGACGACAATGATTAACTGAACACGGGTGATACAGATGAACTGAAAATGACAATGAAGATGACACGTGACATGTGATGACAGGCAGAGATGTCCAATGAAAACAAACTAAACAAAACACAAACTGTGACAAAAAGAGTGTTCACTTTTCTTAGTTGTTGATTTCAGATGCTTTCTATAAGCGTGTTGCAGACTGATAACAACATTGCTACCAATATTTGAATACTATAATGCAACTGCGCTATTTAGATAATAATGTGATCGCTACCAAATGATTTAAGGACCTTATCAGCCTGTGCCATCTAGAGTTTCATGCCAGAACTAGGTATATTTATAAATCTATAAATCTTTGATTGCCACATATACTGTATATTATATTTTCCAGCAAAATAACTATACAGTTATTGTGATGTAAAAATTCCTACAGGGATCTTTTTGGTCATTGCATCCATGCCTAAATTTTTTTTTATTTTTTAAGTCAAAGAGAGAAGACAAGTTTAAATACAAAGGCTTATCGCGTAAAATGCTGGCTCAAAGCTAGAACGTCTAGAATTTTCATCAGATAAATAAATATAAAGACATGCTCAAACTGTCTCACTCTGTGTGTTTTCAAACAGGTTTTTAAGGACCATTTCAGTGATCTTGTTCCTCAACAAACAGGACATGCTGGCAGAAAAGATCCTGGCAGGAAAATCCAAACTTGAAGATTATTTTCCAGAGTATGCTCGCTACACACTTCCTCCTGAAGGTAATATCATATGATCACATATCTAACTAGAGATAGAGTGGTATGAAAATATGTGCTAGAAATATTCAAAAAGTTCAAGTTCAAAAAGTTAAAAGTATTCAAATTAAAATCATTTTAAGAAGTATTATATTAGCTCCCTTGCTTAAACGTACAGTATGCGATTTTTGGCCACCAGGGGTCACTCGTTTAAAATAATAACAAAAGACGTACTTTGATGACGTCGGGAAAGAGCGTGGGCTCACGGGAGTTGTTGTCGCTGTCAATGACAACCAGCTCAGCTCATGACATGACATCATCGTTTCACAAAATATACGGATATACGGCATCTCTCTGTAGATTTAGCTTGTCAAGAAGCTCTAAATGCAACCCCAATGTTTACCTGTGTCATGCTTCTCCTGTCCCAAACCCTTCTCGGGTCATATTTTTCAGGTACGTTTGAGCTTTAGCTAATGAGCTGGCTGTAGCAGCAGAACGTGCAGGCAAAGCGTAATCGTGGTCCATAGCAACTATTATACAGACGAATATAAATATTAATATTACGCTACTTCAATGAATGACCTATTTTAGAATATTTTTCATATATAGAGCGCACCGGATTATAAAGCACATAAGATACTGCAGTCAAACGTTTGACTGGGTTTGCGTTATTCATCCACTATGCTGAAGGCTAAAGGGAATGTAGAGAGTGCGCGGCGCCGGAGGTGAGGCGTTTATTTAGTAAGCATGAGAGAGCTGAAGCGGGCACGTACATTCGCAGCCTGACTCATAAGAGTATTCAATGTGCGCGGCTCCCTAACAGCATTGCTGCTGTTACATTGTTGCTGTTACAGCAACAGTTGGCTGATTTGAATGAGACGACCCGGTTACTGTGAACGGGGAGCGCTTTGTGCGCGAGCAGCGGGGACAGTGTGTCTGTTAAGAGTGAGCGCTCGTGAGCGGGCACGTGATTTACACATAAAAATACGTACTACTTTTTTTTCTTCGTCATTTTCTTTGCTTTATTGGCGGTAGTCCAGTGTTCCCCTTTGTGTTTGGCGGTTTCGCCGGGTTCCGCAAGGAAGTTAGAGAAAATAGAGGAGTCAAAGGTTATATGACGCCATAGACGGGCGACGAAACGGAAATAAAGAAACGTCCCGTGTCTTCGAATTAAACTATAAATTTCTCCGTATTTGAAATTTGGTGGAAACTGTCGGGATAATGTAAGTACATATCTAACAGAAATATATAACATAGATACAGTTATTTTTGCTATTTTTAATGCAGAAAAATACATATTGTGGCTTTAAGTGTGTATCCAATATTGTTATTTTACCTATTTTGATCTCAGATCACTCTCCTATTTTTTGTAATATCATACCTATTACAGCTCATGCTAAATTCCGTAGATGGCACTTTAATGACTCCCTGTTGTATGATGCTACATATATGGACCAACTTAGATCTGGGCTTACAGAATTTTTGGAAAGTAATACGGATCATTGCTCAAACCCTTAGGTGTTATGGGAGGTTACTAAATTCTATCTACTAGGGAACTGCATTGCCTTTTCTTCAAAGGCTAAGCATCTTAAAAATAAGCGCTTTGACTATCTTGAACAAGAAATAAGGTCTTTGGAACACCAGCAGTTTCAATCTTTTCTCAGAAGAGGCTGCTCAGAATTTGTCATTGTTGAAAAAAGAGTACAATAGCTTGTCAATGTCTAAAGCCGAGTTCATCATTCACAGAACTAAGCAAAAATATTATTTTCATTCAGATAGAACTAGCCATCTGCTTGCATTGAGGTTAAAGGCAACCGAGTCCAAAGCAAATATTCATATGTTAAAAAACAGTGATGGCAAAATAGTCACAGATCCTAGGGCTATTAACAATAGCTTTAAAGTGTTTTATTCCACATTGTACTCTTCAGAGGTGGTTCTTGACAGACACGTATGCAAAACATTTTTAGAGAACTTGAACTTGCCTCTCCTACCAGAAGAGGACAGAGACATTCTAATGTTGAAGAGAAGAACTTCTAATGTTGGAGGAATTTTATAATGCGGCCAAATCTCTTAAAAAAAGAAAAATCCCCCGGCCCTGATGGAATTCCCCCAGAGCTTTACCTGGCTGTTTGGGAACATGGTATGCTTCATAGGGACCAGAACACAGCGCTTATAATTTTGTTACATAAGAAAGGTAAAGATGCATTGAATTGTTCTAGTTACCGCCCAATATCTTTAAAGGGCACCTATTATGCCCCTTTTTACAAGATGTAATATTGGTCTCTGGTGTCCCTAGAATGTATTTGTTAAGTTTCAGCTCAAAATACCCCACAGTTAATTTATTATAACCATTTGAAAATGTCATTTTGGGGCCTGCTTAAAAATGACCTGTTTCGGAGGTATACGGCTTTAAATGCAAATGAGCTGCATATCCCCGCCCTGCCTTTGGATGAGGGCGTAACTTGATACCTATGGCAGTCGGTAAGCAGAAGGGCTAAGAGAGTGAGAGACGCGCTGTTTTGAATGTCATTCAGCGTACGTTTGAATCGGAATATACAAATAATACGAAGAGACTCCGGCAGAATAAACATAAATGAGAATGGACCAGTACGTCTCGGTATGGTTATTTGATACATTTATGTACTTTAGCGTTGTAATCGCGTTCCCTTTGAAATGATGGGCAAGTGCAACACACACACACAGACACACAAACACTAATGCTGGCGCAATTTTTTTGAAATTACACAATTATATAGCCTACACAGGCATCCTACGATGACAACAACTTTAGACGCATTTGTTGTTGAATTGGCTGACATTGACTGAAAAGACTATTTGCTCAAAAATCATAAAACACACTTACTGTTACTGGATGTGACGGTGGATCGCAAACAGTAGATGACGATCCACAGTCGAGGATTAACTTTTAAGCTACAACAACAGGATTAACCCACGAGTCCACGACAGAACACTTATGTTTCCAAGAGACATTACTGGCTGTCGTCGTTGAAACAATGGAGGATGATGTGTACAGATCACCGAGGGCGGGGTCTAGGCCACAGCCACACTGTCAATCAAACCCCTGTCTCCCTTTCTACGTCACAAAGAGCTGAATCTCAGAACAGCTCGTTCTGAGGCAGTGCATATGATTTATTGAGATTGTAAAAAAAAAACACTGGGTGGATTTTTATCATTCTAGGGTGGTTTTGCTCACACACTGCCAACACACATTTATGTTCAAACACCATGTAAAAGTGAATTTTCCATAATAGGTGCCCTTTAATTAATAGTGATGTTAAAATTCTGGCCAAAGCCCTGGTTTCCCGGATTGAGCCCTTCATGGATACTTTGATTCATTATGACCAAACTGGATTTCTTAGAGGGCAAGTGGCCCCAGATAATATGCAACGTTAATTGCACATCATTGAACATTCTCATATATATACTGACACTTGCGCAGTTTTTTCCCTTGACGCGCTCAAAGCTTTTGACAAACTTTAGTGGGACTTTTTATGGACAGTACTGGAACACTTTGGTCTCGGTCCTAAATTCATATATGCCATTCAAACTCTTTATAGTAACCCAATAGCTTCTATTTCAACACGCACTTCTCAGTCTTTACCCTTTCTATTACAGAGGGGTTGTCGTCAAGGCTGTCCCCTTTCACTTCTTTTTGCGCTTTCACTGGAACCCTTAGCCCAAGCTCTCAGACAAAGCTAAGTTATTGCTCCAATTACTTTATTTGGGTCGCAACATTATATATTGTTTTATGCGGATGACATCATTTTGTATTCAGACTTAAAAAACTCTATACCTAATGTCCTAAAGTTATTCCACCATTTCGGTAGTATGTCTGGATGCATGATAAATTGGGATAAATCCTCCTTAATGGCGTTTTCTACCAGAAAGACTCGGGAGAATAAATACTGTAACAATAAATACATTTATTGATAGCCCAGCAAGCAATTAAGTCCTTTGGCGTAGGCCCCGTCTATAGCTCGCAATCCGAGGGTCCGGACTCTGCATTTCCTGCCTGAAGACGAAGGCAGGGGCGCAGCCAACCCCCCCGGGAGGTATAGGAAGGGACCATCCTGTGGTGGTGGGGAGGATGGAAGGGAAGGAACCATCTTGGAGGTGGTAGGATGGGAGGGAAGGAACCATCTTGGAGTTGGTGGGGAGGATGGAGGTAAATGAAAGCGTCAGCATCTGCAAACTCAAACATGTGTAAGTACCGGTCTTTTATACCGCAAGCATTAGACACGATTGGATAGATGAGAAGGTAATTAGTGACGCAACAAACGAGTCTTCCTGGCAGAACTTAACGCTAATAAAGCTTCCATTTCTACCAGAAAGACTCGGGAGAATAAATACATTTATTGATAGCTCAGCAAGCAATTAAGTTCTTTTGTGTAGGCCTCGTCCATAGCTCGCAATCCGAGGGTCCGGACTCTGCATTTCCTGCCTGAAGACGAAGGCAGGGGTGCAGCCAACCCCCAAAAACAGGTGGAAGATAATTCCACCAGGACGGAGCCCACCCCCAAAAGAACGGTAAAGAAAAGTATACCCACCAGTCGTGTATCCTGTAGAACCTAAAATAGAAAGAAAAGGGAGTTAATAATAGCATGAACATGAAATGTAGAAAGCCTCGTAGCCAATAACAAAATAGTAAGATGACACTTCATAGTGAGCCTGAAAGGAACTATGAGAAGGCATGAATAATGCACTATGCATTTATGTTCTGCTGCTTTATGTACATTAGCATTTATCCATGCTGACGCTTTCATCCAGAGTGACTTTTGTTTTGAGACAAACTTACGTCTGATCGAAGCCAGTTCCTTATAAATGAATTGGAGGGAATCAAGTGTTGTGGAATAGTGACTTAAACTGTGGGGAGGCTAACTTAGGACATGTCATTGGAACACAAGCTGTTATAGGAACACTGAGAAAAGACCGCCTTGGCCATACAGAACCGGCCATATAGGACAAGCCATTACAGACCACACATAGACATGGCCTCGATGGAC